AGGACGTAATAAACCATTTCGATACACATTAGGGTGTGTAGAATAATACATAGTGTGATATTAAATGTATAAGATATAGGTTGGTTTACAGCAATACAGTATATAATTTAATGTTGGGTTTATCTATGGCAGTATATAGTACGGTATATGCTCGTGTGATGTAAGAGAATAAGGTTTAGATGGAAGCATATTATAGAATTTTTACGAGGTAAAATTGTAATGTATTACTTGCTGTTAGTAACTCAGCTTATTATAGAGTATAGTAAGTATACTGATGGTGCGATGCAGTTTATACTTTAGTTTTTTATGTAGTTTATACTTTAGTTTTCTACGTGGTTGTTGAGTAACTGCAGCTACATATCATTAACATTCCTTTCCTTTGTTACTGCTAATCCCTGCACCCCCCTTGGTTGCTGCTGATCCTGCATAATGCATGGGCATAATATGACTTTGACACCCCCCCGCCCAACGCCTACGCATTTTCCATGAATATGCTAAATCCCTCTTCACATGCACATTCTTTTTGTTAAGGCGCTCTTCAACCCCCAATGCAGCTTATATATAAGCTCCTAGTTTGGTAGTGTCTCATTCTTCACCTGAAGACGGCTGCTTGCGTTGTAGCCGAAACGTCGTGAGAATTGTTTTATTATGTTTTATTTTTATTATTTTATTACTTCCCTTCTACGTGACTTTACCGAAAGAAACAAGAAGATGAATCCCTGCAGTCACGAAAGCTTTAAATCGAAATTTAACCGCCTCTACGGGGAGGGTTTCCACATAACTTTGAGATCCTTCAACAAGCTCCGGGATAAGAAGGCTCAGCTAATCGAGTCTCTCACCTTTCTGAAGAGATGCCGCGACTCTAAGGTAATACCAAACGCATTTACACTAACATCTGCTGCTGTAACTTCTTCTAATGCGAAACGAATTCTGTCTAGAACTAGCTTAGCTCTTATCTCAGAGAAAATCAGACTTACGCGCACCGAACTAGATCAGTTAGACAAGACACTCTACAAATCACACTTATCTTTGAGTGTAACAATGTCCACATCGGATTGGGAACATGTGGAAAAAATGACTGCCTCTTCAGCTGCCGCTATGTCGACTAAATGTAAGGACAACTTGATTTCCAAATTCAATCGCCTCTCAAACAAGAAACCGGACCCACACATTGAAAAGCTAGATATTAACAAAGTCGTAATTAATCGCAGTAACAGTCCTATTTCTGAAGGTTTGAAATCCGTTTTAGCTAAAGGACTAAACTTTGCAGTCACACCTAGACACATACCAGTTAATGATATAATTGCTCGAGTAGATGTAGCTCTCAAGGGCTTGAGTCACATCGCTGCAGACGTAGCAAGATCCGAAATCTCTGTAACCCTCAAAAACGCTAAGATGCCAGCTAGCAACATCAGCAAAGAGGAGCGTTTTGAATTAGCTCAATTAAAAAAGAGGGATGACATTGTCATCCTCTCAGCCGACAAAGGCAATGCCACTGTCATCATGGACAAAATAGAATACAACAACAAAATTCAAGAACTACTAAACGATGGCAGCTATACAAAAATAAAAAGAGACCCCACCAACAGCCTCGTCTCCAAAACCAACAACATCATTTCTGCTTCAACCGCATTAATTGATCAGACCAAACAGTTCTCGTTGAAACCTTCTGCAGCCAGACCACCAAGATTGTACGGCTTGCCAAAGATACATAAAGAAGATACACCTCTTCGTCCCATTGTCTCTACTATCAACTCCCCCACTTACAAACTGGCTCGTTTTTTGTCCGAAATCCTACGGCCTTTCACTGGAAAAACCACCTCTGCAGTACTAAACTCTACTGACCTGGTATCGACAATCAAGGGGATTGCCCTGTCCCCAGACGACCTGCTTGTCAGTTTTGATGTGGTTTCCTTGTTCACCAAGGTACCTGTGCCTGACACCATCGCAATCATTGAAGACTTGGTTCATCAAGGACTGAATGCTGGGGTACCCCCCCTGGTGAGACACTGCTTAACCAATACATACTTCACCTGGAATGGAACCTTCTACAAGCAAATTGAGGGCACCCCAATGGGCTCCCCCCTATCTCCGGTTGTAGCCAACATCTTCATGGAGAAATTTGAGACGGACGCCATCCAGACTGCCACTCTACGCCCGACCTTATGGAAGAGGTACGTAGACGACACTTTTGTCATCTGGCCACATGGCCGGCCTGCTCTAGACCAATTTCTCGACCACATCAATTCCATACACCCAGCCATCAGATTCACCATGGAAGTCGAAAATGATGGCAAGCTACCCTTTTTGGATGTCCTAATCAAAAGGAGACCTGATGGTTCAATGAGCCACTCTGTCTACAGGAAAGCCACCCACACGGATGCTTATCTAAAACCGGATTCCCACCACCATCCATCTCAGAAGAATTCCCTCATCAAGACTCTATATCATAGAGCCCAATGCATCTCCGACCATGAACACATTTCCAGTGAACTCAAACACGTACGCCAAGCTCTTAAGGCAAATGGTTACTCCGACTATACAATCCGCAAAGCCATCACTCCAACCATCAAGAAGGATCCTGTTGAGGAGCCTTTCAAGACCATCACCTTACCCTACATTGCTGGGGTCACAAAAAAGATCTCCAAAATCCTGATTAAACACAAGATCCAGGTCCGATTCAACACAGTACATAAAATCCGTGATCTGGTACCGTCTGTAAAAGATGTGGTTCCAGACATACAGTACCCTGGCGTCTACAAACTAAGTTGCCTCTGTGGTAGCAGTTACATTGGGGAAACCAAACGACATGTCTCGGACCGCATCCGTGAACATAAAGCTGACCTGAAACACGGTAGGACTAACACCTCAGCCGTGGCAGATCACTGTTACAACTCAGTGGGCTCACATGATATTGACTTCTCCAAGACAGAGGTTCTCTGCAAGCCATCTGGCTATCATGAGAGATTCGTTCATGAGGCGATCCACATATACAAACACAGAGACAACTTTAACCGAGAAGATGGATTCTGGCTCAGCAATCATTGGAAGGACGTAATAAACCATTTCGATACACATTAGGGTGTGTAGAATAATACATAGTGTGATATTAAATGTATAAGATATAGGTTGGTTTACAGCAATACAGTATATAATTTAATGTTGGGTTTATCTATGGCAGTATATAGTACGGTATATGCTCGTGTGATGTAAGAGAATAAGGTTTAGATGGAAGCATATTATAGAATTTTTACGAGGTAAAATTGTAATGTATTACTTGCTGTTAGTAACTCAGCTTATTATAGAGTATAGTAAGTATACTGATGGTGCGATGCAGTTTATACTTTAGTTTTTTATGTAGTTTATACTTTAGTTTTCTACGTGGTTGTTGAGTAACTGCAGCTACATATCATTAACATTCCTTTCCTTTGTTACTGCTAATCCCTGCACCCCCCTTGGTTGCTGCTGATCCTGCATAATGCATGGGCATAATATGACTTTGACACCCCCCCGCCCAACGCCTACGCATTTTCCATGAATATGCTAAATCCCTCTTCACATGCACATTCTTTTTGTTAAGGCGCTCTTCAACCCCCAATGCAGCTTATATATAAGCTCCTAGTTTGGTAGTGTCTCATTCTTCACCTGAGGACGGCTGCTTGCGTTGTAGCCGAAACGTCGTGAGAATTGTTTTATTATGTTTTATTTTTATTATTTTATTACTTCCCTTCTACGTGACTTTACCGAAAGAAACAAGAAGATCTATGGGCAGTGTTGAGTCTATGGGTAGTGTTGAGTCTATGGGCAGTGTTGAGTCTATGGGTAGTGTTGAGTCTATGGGCAGTGTTGAGTCTATGGGTAGTGTTGAGTCTATGGGTAGTGTTGAGTCTATGGGTAGTGTTGAGTCTATGGGTAGTGTTGAGTCTATGGGTAGCATGTGTGTATGTTGAACTTCTTTCGCACCGTACGTAACCAACCGCGCTCATCGGAGGTGCAACAACAACAACAGCAGCAACAGCAGCAACAACAGCAACAACAACAGCAACAACAACAGCAGCAGCAACAGCAGCAACAACAGCAACAACAACAGCAACAACAACAGCAGCAGCAACAGCAGCAACAACAGCAACAACAGCAACAACAACAGCAGCAACAACAACAGCAGCAACAACATCAGCAGCAACAACAGCAGCAACAGCAACAACAACAATAGCAACAACAACAACAGCAACAACAACAACAACACCAACAACAACAGCAACAACAGCAATAACAACAGCAGCAACAACAACAACAGCAACAACAGCAACAACAACATCATCATCATCACAGAGAAACATCTCCATGACAACAGCCGTCGTTACGTATCGCGCCTCGCACGGCCCGGGTTGCCATAGCGACCGGGGGCAGTGGGGGGGGCCGCGCGCCCAGTGACGTCACCGGGCCGATGAGTAATGGGGCACGCGGGTGGGGGGGCAGGGCTCTGGCTAGGGCTTCCGTCACGGAAAGGGTCCCCCCCTCCCCCACCGCCCCCACCCCACCGTCCCACACCCCCCCCACCCACGTGGACGGAAGGGGGCGTGGTCAGTCTATAAACCACACCCCCTTTACCCCCTCCCCGGCCCCTCCCACCCACCCAGTGGACAAAGGAGGCGTGGCCAGTCCATAAACCACGCCCCTTTTAACCCACTCGACGGCCCCTCCCACCCACCCAGTGGACAAAGAGGGCGTGGTCAGTCCATAGACTGACAAAGTGGGCGTGGTCAGTCCATAAACCACGCCCCTTTACCCCACTCACCGGCCCCTCCCACCCACCCAGTGGACAAAGGGGGCGTGGCCAGTCCATAGGCCCCACCCCTTTTACCCCCCTCTCCCGCCCCTCCCACCCACCCCAGCCCCCCCACCGCGGCCGTGACGCCAGCTGCTTTATAAAGCCCAGACCGGGGGCAGTCGTCCTTGTGATTCTTTGTGCCGCTTGAACATCTCCGTTCTTTCTCGTCGTCGTCCACCGGTCGAGCGGAACGCAGCGTCCCGTGTCCCACCCGCAACTCCTCCGCGTGAGAGTCGCTCGATCCACCGAGACGACAACAACAACAAGAACAACAACAACAAGAAGAACAACAAGAACGCTTTGGGACTTTCCACGTGGAGATCGACATCTGCGTTGTGCAGCCGTCCGTGTCCGTCCGTCCGTCTAAAAAGTTTTCGCTTTTCAAAAGTTTCGTGCCGAGTGTGCCGAACTTTTCCCACCGAGACGACCACGACCACCGGACATTATTAACAAGACGTGAGAGAGTGGTGGACAAGAAGGGACGACTCAAGAGCGAGAGAGAGATGGAGTCTAAGCGCATGATCGCCGTGTCTCTCGCCAAGCTGCAAGGCTTCAGGACGCAGCGTGGCGGCATGCGGCTCCATCGAGGACTCCTCGTGTCCTACGTTCTGCGCAACGCCAAGCAAGCATACCTGGGGGAGAAGTACCGACAGCTGTGCGAATACCAGCAGTATCAGCAGCAGCAGCAGCTGCTGCAGCAAGAGGACATGCGACAGCTGAAGCAACAGCAGCAGGAGCAGCAGCAGCAGCAGTGGACATGTGGTGATCGATCTCCGATGACGTCCATCTGCTCTCATCCTGCACTGCCCGCTGCTGAGACGACGTCTCTTGCCACCGTCGTCACAGAGAAAGCTGTAGAGGTCTCAACCAGTGACTCGGCCACTACCACCATCACTACCACCACCACCACCACGTTGGCAACGGAGCTGCCTGACCCGTCCGCCAGGCTGTGCCGAAAGAGGTCCTCGTCTAAAGAGGGCGCCGATGATGATGAAGGTTCTCCTCCAAAACGACCCCGCATACAGCAGCAGCAGCATCATCAGCATCATCATCAGCAGCAGGAGCAGCAGCAGCAGCAGGAGCAGCAGCAGGAGCAGAAGCCGTCACCGCCACGCGAAGTCTCAACAAACAAAAAAGGACCCCACATAGTCCGCTACCACCCGCAGCCTCTAGGTCAACTCAGCCTGAACTGCATGGCAGTGGCAGCGTGTTGAGATGGTGGTGGTGGTGCTGGTGCTGGGCAACTTGCGAGCTGTGGGTAGAACGAACGTGTGAAGGTGGTGGAGGTGGTGGACGCTGCCTCGTTGTCGACCCTGAACTGAACTCGAGTGTCCGGTCGCGAGAGACGACTAGAGGCTTGGTGCTGTGAAGGTGGAGACCATGGAGCGATTACGACGAACGAAAGTTCCCGGTTTATCCGGTGATTCGGTCGTTTTGGGGGGCGCCGCGGTGGGTAGGAGATGTTAACTACCTCGCCTGGTGTACAGGAGGTCGTGGGTTCGATCCCGACCCTGACGCCTGCTGCTGTATATTTGGAGTTTGCGTCTCTCTCTCTCATCATCATCATCACGGTGGCTAGGAGATGTGGACTACCTCGCCTGGTATGCAGGAGGTCGTGGGTTCGATCCCGACCCTGACGCCTGCTGCTGCTGTATATTTGGAGTTTGCGTGTCTCTCTCTCATCATCATCATCATCACGGTGGCTAGGAGATGTTAACTACCTCGCCCGGTATGCAGGAGGTCGTGGGTTCGATCCCGACCGAAACTGACGGCTGCTGCAGCTGCTGTATATTTGGAGTTTGCGGTATCTGCCTCCTCTCTCCGTGGTCGCGTGGATTTTCCTCTCCGGCTCCTCCGGTTTTTCTCCCCCTCCCCCCCTCTCTCCACGTCACGCGTTTTAAAGTATTCGCCTTGCTGCTATAAATGTCCACGTGGCGATGATGAGTCTCTTCGATGAGCCCATCGTTTGTGACGAGCCAGGCGACTTCTTGCAGGAGCGCTGGTGACAGACAAAGTTCAGTTTAAGTTAATGATTCTGTTAAAGTTTCAGGGAATTTATTTGTTTGTTACAATCGTCGGGAGGACACTCAGTGATCCCATGCCACGTGTTCCATTCTCACGCCACGGCTAATAGCAGTGGCGAGCGATGAACCAACGTGGTGTGAGAAAGTACGGTCAGCCCAGGACCGACGCCACGTGCTGGAGGCGGAGGCAGTCGCAGTTTTACCGGCGCGCTTTAAAACACGTGGAGAGCGGTGGCGCAGCGGTTAGCGCAGTGCGCCTACGAACACGGATACCCCGAGAAGTTTCGATTCACTGCTAGTGCGCGTGTGTGTACATACAAGATGAGCACTGGGGAGACAAAGGCGGACGGGCGTAGTGCCTAGCCACACCGTGCCCGTGTCGGCTTTCACTTGGCCCCAAACAGCCTTTGTGGAGCGCTCCTAGGTGGACTCGGCCTCAAATGAGTACCCGGTGCGATTGTGTAAACATCGCCACTAGGGAGACAAAGGCGGCCGGGCGTGGTGCTGGCCACCCATCCCCACTCGTGTGCCAGTGCCGGCATTCATAGATCGGGTTGCTACTCGCTTGCAGAACTTGCCCCAACAGTCTGTTAAGGCTACACGGGTAACCATTGTCTTTGTGTGCGTTTAAACTGCGATGTGATGACGAGGAAGAACGAAGAATGAACGACACGACAACCGGGAGCCATTCTCAAGACGCATCACCACGTGAAGATTCCTTCGTGTGTGTGGACCAGGCAGTGGGTGGCGTGTGAAGGAAATGAAGGAAGCAATGATGGATTGAGACTGAGAAGAGATTGTGCAAGACGTTGCTGGTCTTGGGAAATCGGGAGACTCAACGCCGAGCAGACAACGCGGTCCTTTGTTCGAAGAGCCGGGAATGATGGCCACATCGCCGCTCGATATGAAACAATTTCTCCCGATTATTTTAAATTATTTGTTTTTTTACATGTATACACACACAAGAGATTGTTGTTACGAATGATCTAAAATGATGTCGTTGATCGCTGTGCGGTCTTGGAATTTTTGGTTTGTAATAATTGTTTTTTTATAAACACACGTGCTACTGTCACATTGAGTGAGTGAGTGGGGTGAGTGAGTGGGTCACGTAGGTAAAAAAAAAATAGAAATAATGATAGAAAGAAAAGAGTAAATCAAGTGCTTTATTTTATTTCTATTATAGAAATAAAATAATAAATCAAGTGATTAATTTTTTTACTTCTATTTTTTTATTTTAGTTTTTTTTGTTTTTTACCTACGTGACTTTACCGAAAAACCTAAGAGTATGAATCCTTGATAGTCACGAAAGCTTCAAATCTAGAATGAGTGAGTGGGGTGGGTGAGTGAGTGAGTGGGGTTGAGTGAGCGAGGGTGAGTCACTCGTGAAGTGTCCGGGGCGAGCGATTACGTGAACGCACGCCGACAGAGATTCCAGGGTCAATTGTAAATCAACGTCGGCTTCATAAAAAAAAAGTACCACCACCGCTTTGCCATCATCGGGTTATCAATCGCCGCATGGCGTCAACACATTTTGTGGAGCAGAGCCGTGCCTCGCCGAACCGATAGGCCACCCTAAGCTTGATCACACGATAGTATAACAATTATCATCATCAGCAGCGGCAGCTATGAGCTTATCCACCGCTAGATGATTAAGGCCACCACAGGAACTGATTTACTGAACATCTGTGGAAGGGGGGAGAAAGCGCTTTATAGCTAATCGGATTCCTCCAGTTTAAATATTCTGATTCGGAATCATTTCATAATTCCACAACCTGCACAGTGGATGTTGTGGATGTTGGACAAAGGTGACGTGCGCTCTGCGATCTTAATTCGGCAACGGAATTGCTGTTTGCTAATTGACCCCGCGGGTCTCATCTGGCTGGTTACGGATGTTGAAATACGAGTGGGGTGGGATCGCGTTGTGCTGTGATGGGTGGGATGGATGGTGGCGACTGTTTTTGCCTGGCTAAGTTATTTTTTTTCACCCTGGTGCTATTGGCCGGGGTCCATGTTGTGACCCTTGTCAATTAATTCGCGTATTTTTTGTTAATTATTATAACTACTACAGACCCCTTGTTGCTTGGGGGTGGTGTGGGAGTTGGAAACTTGAGAAATAAACCAGCTTAATGGTAAATGAACGCCTCGCTTCGTGTTGATATTTCCTTGTCAATTATCGCACCCATTGCTACACTTAACAAAGACAAAGGTCCCCCGTACAGCCTCGACGGGACTTTTGG